AAAGTATTTCAACAAGTTTCCGTTTCTTTCTTCTTGGTCGGTCCTGGCGATAAATATTGAGTGATCGCCAGTTAGATGTTAGCAGTTCAGTAAATGAACATCTGAATAATGTGCATTCTTTTCGTTGTATATTGCCAGCAACCACATTGTCTCTTATTGAGCTTTTTGTAACCTTGACAACGAAAGGTTGTACATTTTTCAGAAACGCAGCAGAATAGGTTATGCGACTAATAAACATAGTGATATATTAAAACAAATAAAAATAGATAACTTGTTGAAATATCTAGATGGCAGGAACGGGTAGCCCAGATGCTCAAGCAGACTGCCCTTTAGAATGTTGTTCAATCTACAATGAATTTGATTATATAGACTCATCTGTTACTTACCGGTAAACAGCTGTTGTGTTACGGTCTTTATGGTCAATTGTATGAATTATTGAAAATTCTCGATCAGTGTTTTAACTCATCTGATAGTAACTATAATACATATATTGTGTTCTCTATTCGTTTATTCGTAAACTGAGGTCATTAATGAGAACTTCTTGATACGTAACTTGTTTTATTCTTAGGGTATGTAAGTTTATTTATAGAAATTTCCCAGTTATCCAACACAGAATGATCAAAGAAATAAATTCTTCTTACTATTCGGAATGTTTACAATTTATGTGATGACAATGTTTAATTGCAATATGTTGTATTACAGTATTTGACACTAAAAATCACATTTACACATTAATAGTTGAATAGTTACATACAACTATCAATATTTTTATACTTTTATGCGTACACTTTAATAAAATAATACAATATTTATATATGTGATGCATACACTTTGTGACATAGCAAATTTAACCCTTTTTATTATCTTACTAATGTGCTTCAAGTAAGAGAATGATCTTACTATGATCCCTAAAAAGTTTAATAGTTTTTAATTTACTCACCATCTGCTATCTCATTGTGATGAATATTAACTTGACATTACTAGTATATCACGATTGAATTTATAATTTAATGAATAACAAATTCAGATTTTTCAACTTGAATCATACATTCATAGATATCTCTATTTAACGAACATTCATGAAGCTTATATACTGACGATCAAAACATGTTTATGTTTTATTTATTTATTTATTAATTTTATAAATGATAAATTTTAATTACTATGGAAACATTTGAGTAAAAACTAATTTAGACAGAGCATTCATTTTTTCTTTACATAAGTGCTCATTCAAAAATCATCAGGTTATTAGTTTTAGAATGTTTTAAAATTACTTTTTTTAAAAATTTGTTTTTGGACAAAACATTTAAAACCTAGATTATAACGGGTTTTTAGAGTGATTTTATGGTTGATTGAATGTCGTGATTTACTGTTTTATTTCTGTATTATTTATATTATCTTCAGACTAATAAATTCTAATAAAATGTATGTTGCATGGGATATGTATTCCGTACAGAGCTAAAGAATGTTAGGGTAATACCAGCGAAAGCCAGAGGGTACTAGGCAGAAGTTTGGCTGTGTATAATGACTTTTAAATACTACAGAAACACAGTCCAATTGTCAATTTACTGAAAATTTAAGAGTATTTGAAATCTAACATGTTAGGAAGTTATATATATAAAGTGTAACACTATAAGAATTCCAAAACGACCTACCATAATGAATTGATATTAACAAGATAACCTCAGTAAATTAGGTTGGATTAGAGAGTTACATTCTCCTGGTTTGGGACTTATAAGCTGTGGCTACTGACTCCCTATGTAAAAGAACCAGGTCGTTAAGATCTTGCAACGAGTATCATATAACCAAAATTCTATGTCAAAACGTAGTGGTGTACATTGTTCAACCTCCGTCAAGTACCAGGATAACGCAATCCACAATCAGTTGCATCGGCGAATTAATGTCTTATTCAAAGTTTGATTGGATTCATAAGTCACAGTTTCGTTATCGTAAGAATATACCGAAATTTTGACACATGTCAGTGATATTTGTTTACTTACTCAATAGACAATCCAATTATTCAATTTTAAGTGACATTGCAAAACTGTGATCACATGTCTGCAACTTATTTTCGTCTGACTATAAATATCGATTCACGCTTGATTAAATCGAGTTGGCTCACACGCCTTCTCCAATCTGCTTCACTCTTTCCTCTTTGTTTCATCTCCCTGGTTACCTGTTCAAATCAATGAGTGAATGAAAGATACATATTCAAAATCCATTCTCGTATTTGGCTTATTTAATTCCATCATTCACTAGCTCGGATTAGATCGTTAATTATGTATAAGAATAGCCGGCATGTGTATTTCGATAACAATCAATCATACGATATTACTGGAGTCAGATACTGGACCACCAAATACTGTAGATTTGAATTACAAAGCTGTTATCAACTTTAGTTATGGAAATATTTTGTTATAATAAATTGGGATGGGAAACAGTTCACCAAGGTACTTTACGATACCTATTTGCTATTACGGAGAAAAACTCATCGATATAAAGATAGGTAATTTTTTATTAAACAAATACACCAGACGTAATCGTTTGAAGATATCTGAATGTCTTGAAATTTTACTAAAAGTACAAATGGCTTGGGAAAGAAATTAATTATCACATTGTGTTATTAAGTTCTTATATTAGTAAAGAAGATGTGTTTTATCCTTCTGAGAAACCACAAACGTATACTTCATTTAATTAGTAAGAGTAGTAATTTGAAACAAGGCTGAATTTTGAATACGGGTGTAGTTGAGACAGCACTTTAGAGTAGTTATTTAAGCCTTTAGAACTTTGAGCCATATTGACTGTTTCACGCAATTTTACATTCCAATTATGTTTCAGATAATTTACTGAAGTCATGCAACAGGGATCTTAAACAGGTATCCATAAACAATGTAGTAATTAACACAGTTGTTTATTTGTTCCAATTTACCACAATTCATATCATTAAGTCTACATATGAATTTACGAAACTTTGGGAAGGAAATAATAAAATAGGAATCAAAGTTTAAAATAAACAGTTAATTCCAAAAAAACAAATCATGTCGTGGAGTTAACCTCGGGATCAAGATTTATGCGAAGAATTAGCGAATTTTTGGCACGACAGACGGTTTTATATAATTTTATGAATAGTCCTCAATGAACAGACTAAAGTCTTATATTTATGGTGATTTTTTCAGTGGTTGAACTAATAAGGGTGATATAACTCCCCGTGAGAGGTCAGGTATTTTCAGATCTAAAGACGATATTTCTAAATAGAAAGAAGGAAATCACACTACAGAAGTTTTGGTGTTGTTTAGTTCACTGAACTAGATGGTTTCATTGCGGAGCATTCCTTGTCGTCCTGAAAGCCACCAGATCCCTTGTCATGTGAAAGTGATCCTCTTACTTATTTCACGAGTAATGAATCGGTTTTTCCTAGTGGTTTGCGGTTGCTTATAATCTTAGGCTTTGTTGTCTTCATTTATCTTTATATTCATATCACCTGTCTTCTTCGGTTGGCCCCCGACAGTGTAATTGCCTGTCCTTTTGTGTATGGGCCGATAGATCTTGTGTTTTCGATGTATCTATTGATTCATGAATGATGGGTTATACATATATATATATATATATATATATATATATATATATATATATATATATATATATATATATATATATATATTCAAAGAACTGAGAAATTTGTTTTGGGCTGCTTATCTTTGTTTCGAAATCCTGGAAATAGAGAGAATATTTATAATGACAAAGTTGCTAGGTTACTGGCAAACATAGGATACATGAAAAAGAATCAATGAATAAAATAACCTAAATCCTCATTCCTCGTTGCAATTAAACAACCGACTATCTTTCCTAACAACGCCTTTCATATCTTTTGAAAATACTTATTAGTTCACACTAAACTAATATATCCAGTTAACTAAACTCAGCTAATTACCACTTATTTATTCTCTTCATTGATCTCTTATTCTAAATTTCACAATACTCTTGTTTTTCTTGAATAAGATTCCAAATGTTTTGGGGAAGTTTGTACTATAAAACGTTATTGCTTATTCATATAACCAAAAAACTCATTTTAACTGAATAAAGGGTAATATATTGAGATATTTCTGAAACATCTTAATTAAAAAAATTACTTGTCAAAAACAGATAAGAACTATTATAATATGATCTAATTATTCTACTGAAATCATTTTCTCACGGAGATAAATGGAGAAATTTATCAGTAATTGCATGAAACAAGAATCCTTAGCTTAGTGATCGAAGCATTTAGGACTGAACTAGTACATCACAGTTTTTAGCACCTGTTCATTAACTTCTGTCCACACAGTATCGCTGTCACTCAGATAAGCTGTATCGCAAAGCAAAATACATAACCCTTTATTAGTAAATTATCTAAATAATTATGAACTAAGATACTTGTAATTCAACCTGTTGTTGATATTAGAGAATAAATTTGAATCTTTCTTTGTTTGCAGATTTACATCCTGTGTGGATTGCCTCAATACAGATATTATGTCACAAGTTTTTGTAAAATATATGGATCACGTATGGCAGTGGCTTCGAGGTCGCACTTTTTTTCATTTGGGGAAATACTTGTATCTCAGAGTTGATATTCACTATGGAATCATAATCCAATACCTGAGGACTCAGTAGCTAATGAGATAACTCTTTAGGGGTTTGAAGCAAAAGACACTAGGTTCAAATCCTGTAGTGAACGTCAATATTAGGATTCAGAAAAATCTATTCGAAAAGTTTGAAAGAGGACACAAATCTCATCCTGAATCCACTTATTTACCACCTTCCGTCTATTTTACGTAAGTTTAGGTTCCAAAGAATGACATGCTGACCTCATTATCCTTTGTTTCTTTCAATTAATACTGTTCACGTAGAGGAAAGGTAATGTATTAAATCTGGCCGTAATATATAGAAAATGCATCTATTTTTTGTCTGTTGACCTCTTGATGTCTATCAACATTTTTTAATTTTTTTTGCTTTTATATTAGATTTCTTTCCTACTGGTTTACTACCAGTGCTTAGAAAGCAAGCATTGAAGTGTAAAGAATATGCTATTTGGCGAAACTGGTATGAAGGTATGTGTCTATATTTATAAAATTCCGTATTCCTACATTATATATATATATACCAAGACAGTATTTAATTTAATCTAAATCAAGTTGATTTATAACTGCTATTAAAGCTGATTGATGAAAAATCTATTTCTCAGACTAAAATAGTCTTCTCGGTCTACGAGCAAATAATTATATCTGATCAGAATTATAAAAGTCTTTATGTGTAAAAAGAAAATTAAAACGTTTATGGGTAAAATCAGCTACTTTACTTCAAACACTGCTAAGTGCTAAGATGAACAATGATTTTCTTTTTTCGCAATCCTACTTTTTATATACGAAAACTTGATTGTGATTCAACTATATGGAAAACGGTTTGCCCTGTGTAAACTGAATTTAGAGTTGAAATGACGTAAATAAACAAGCAAGCATTAATTTAAACTGTATTTTATGCATAGTGTTTGTGGGCATTTCACTGGCCTTGAATAACCAAAAAAATTAAAGTTTTCCTAAAGTAAAAACGATCAATTAAGTAATGTTACATGGCTTATAATTAAATACCACGCAAGTTTTCTTTGTCTGAAACCAAATTAAGTTATTTATGAAAACTCGTTCATATGATCTTATAAATTCAGTAATATTGAGGTGCGATCTAATGATAAATAAGTGTTTAATTTATTCGATATTCTGTCAACTTTGTCAATATGAACATGAGAATGTGAATCAACAAAACATTGATGATTTTCAACATGTGATAATCATAATCAGTTTATTTATTTAGCTGTCTTTAGGACAATCCTCCTAATCATCACTTTAGGTGACTCTGACATTATATAAATCATTGTAAATGAAGAAAGTAGATTACTTTGGGGTGGACTGTCTCCTTCGTAGTTTTACGAATGGAAAGTTTGTGTAAGCTAACGAAACCCAAATATGGTTTAAAGCCAGTGAATTTCAACTTCAGTCACTTATACCAACAATGAGAGAGTAAACTAAACATCAGCTATTAATGCATTGTTTACTTTAAGATAAATTAACTGGAAAATTTTATCAGTTAAATTCATAAGTCGATATAAACTATACCACTACTGAAAACCTGATAGCACTGGATGTCTTAGTACGGGACTCCTCAGAAGTGCGCATCCAAAATACGAGGGCGTAACGGCCATCCAATGCTTCTAGGTTTTCAGCGGTGGTCTAGCTTAGATTGACTCGTGAACTCAACTGTTTAAATATTTTTTATGGTTTTGATGTGAACAAATCACTTTGTCATAATTTTATGTTCATGAAATTAAACTTTTCATCAAAGAATCGTATAACTTGTTAATGCTATTAATGGTATACGATAGGAAATGAAGTAGTTGAGTGTGTCGACCGCTTCACTTATCTTGGGAGTCTCATCAGCCTGGGATCTGGTGCGTGACGTAATTCCAGGACGAAAAAAGAGGATTCGACTAGCTTTTGCCAACATGAGTCATTTGTAGCGTAGGCGAGATATCTGTCTACCAACCGAAGGACGGATTTACTGCGCAGCAGTTCGTTTCGTCCTACTTTATGGCAGTGAAACGTGGCCGGTAAGAGTAGTGGATATTCGTAGGTTACTAGTATTCGATCATAGGTGTCTTCGAAACATTGCTCGTATAAACTGGGACCATCGAGTAAGTAATACAGTTGTTAGGAAACGGATACTAGATAAGGATGGCAAATCAATCGACGAAGTAGTGAAACTTCATCAGTTGAGATGGCTGGGAAATGTGTTACATATGCCCAACCACCGACTACCCCGAAGTGAGATGTTTTATGGTGTAGTAATAGGTTGGAAGAAAGCTAGGGGTGGCCAGACTACAGCATGGCACAAATTTATGAAGTCACTGACAAGTGGATTGAGCCATGTTGGTAGGTGTAGACTACCTGGTTGGGGACCGCGAGATGATAGCAACCGATGGTAAGAGACCCTGAATGACATGTCTCGAAATCGTTTGCAATGGTGCAGGTGCATCCACTCTTTGTGTTCTCTCAAATTCTAATCTTTTGAATTCTTCATGTCTCTTTCCAAATTCATTTCACTGGATTATACTCTTTAAATAACATCTTCTAACCCTAGTCTTTCCGATTACTGCTTATACTCTTACCGCCTCTACCACTACGGGATTTGAATCGACAACTGCAACTTGAAGTGATGTACATACGTACGAAGTTCTACGCTATTGCTGACTGAATGACTGGCATATGAAGTTGCTTATTGTATTGAATGTTTAATGTTACCTGTAACTAGGTTTCAAATCTAGTTACGAAGAAAACTTCTGATGCAAAATTACAATAATAACAACTGAAACTAGTAACTTCAACTAAAGTTAATTCTGTCAGAATGAGTTTTGTGGAGATCTTTAGAAATTTCACTGGTTGAAATCATGATTCAGTTGAAGCTAGACCACCATGATTTCAACCAGTGAACTTTCTAAAGATCTTCACAAAACCCATTCTGATAATAATAATCACCTGCTCACTAGTGACTGACTTCAGGAGACATTCCTGGAGTTCTAGTGGGAAGTCGTTACCTGTGGAGTTAAACCAGGTCTGTTGTGAGATAGGAACTAACTGAAGACAATGGTGTACGGTGGCGCAACTTCGTGGATTGGTTGAAGTTAGACATTAACACCATTGGATGCCGACCGGCTCAGTGGTCTGTGGTGGACCAGACGATATATAAACGCAAAAGGTATCAACAAAGTTAATAAAAATCAATAGTAGTATTAATATATACCAGTTAAATGTTACAAATACAATAAAAATGGGACGTTACTTAAGTTCACCCAAAATGATGTGTGTTCAGCTTTAGTCTGGTACAATAAATCCACAATTATAGATGCTTGGTAATTCCCAACGTGTCGATGAACTCTCCAGCGGTGTTATCCAAAGTAAGGTATGGTGTATTCACTCTCACAGTCTATGAATGTAAATAATATTTGTTTTAGATCTCAATTAACTCAATCACGAATGAAAATAGAACGACGAATGTGTGAGAAGCAGTGTATTTGTTAGCCAGCAACGGTATGTCACGCTATGTTAGTATCACAACAGAAAAAGTCTTCAAGGTCATTTACTAAAACAACAGGTACAATCATTTAATGATAAATGTACATGCGATGAGAAATTGACAAAATAAATACAAATAATATTAAAAACTATTTACAAAATAAGCTTGTCAGACCTATCTCCACAGGTCTAATTGTTAAGCGCCTGGCGCGAGACTGATAGGTACTGGGTTCGAATTTCGAGGGGTGAGGGATCGTGGATGCGCACTGCTGAGGAGTCCCATACTAGGACGAGACGGCCATTCAGTGCTTTCAGGTTTTCCATGGTGGTTTAGCTTCACTTGACTCATGATTTCAACCAGTGAAGTTAATTTGTTAACCAAATAAAAATTCTTATCTCTGCTTTGTTATTGTAATAAAAGAAAAACAAATTTTCAACTTTTTCTCTTATATCAATACCAAATTATCATATTTAAGTTGAGAAACTTAACTGTTCAAACAATGATGTATCGTTTGTCTACTCAATTATCAATAACGTATCAAATTAACTTAATTTCAAATTATGTATAATATTCAAAAGGATTAAGTCAATTTAATTTATTTCATTTAAAGGTAAAAAGTCTTTAAATAGTCAGATAATCTAGAAAATCGTATCAGTGAAAATGTACTTTTTACAATAATATTGTCGATTTCATTACTAAACTCTTTTTGTTTCTCCTATTTTCTTTTTATCAGATGGTAAATAATATTGAATATGTAAAATTGTTATATAACTAAGAAGAGTAGAATATTTTGTCATTATGTATAGTACAAACGTATAGCATTACAGATAAATAGTATATATGACCCATTTTTGTATATATCAATAAATCTAGAAAACCTCTTTATTTTGTACTTATGCTTAAATTTAATTTAGATTGATTTTAGGCAAGAATATTATTTATTCAGTTAGTGTTTTTTCAATACTTTCTTCCCAAATCTAATACTACTTAGATATGTTCCATATAGTATATGCAAATTCATTGTCACCTGATGTATGGAAAAAATAAGAATCAAAATGAATTATTTAAACATCTCAAATTCGTAATGAGAATTATCACATGAATTGTAAAGTAATACGAATAGGGAAACATAAAGTAAATAGAATTATGTATGTTCTATTTTTAGTAGATATGAAAGTATACTGTTAGAATAACAGAATTTCACTTGATTTCAGATGAACAGTAATTTAGCAAACGATAGTTAGGAGAATAAAATCTCAAAAAAAAAATAAAGAATAATTTGACCTTTATTTGAAATGATTCAATTCACTATATTGCGCGACTGTCCTTCATTGTCTTCAGTGGTTAACTACCTTACATCAAACATACTTGAACTTCACTGGTCAAGGAGGATGGTCAAACAATATCGTGGATTGACTGAAGATAGACATTAACATCGTTGAGTGCTGTCTCAATGGTCTAAAGGTTAAGCGTCCTTGCACGAGACTGAAGGTCGTGGGATCGTAGTTGTGCACTGCTGAGGATTCTCATACTAGGACGGAACGGCGATCCATTGCTTTTAAGTTTTTCCTTGGTGGTCTAACATTGATCCATTTATGATATCAATCAAAAGTCAACTATCTGCACAACCCTAAACTGGTATTATTCAATTTTTAAAAAATACAAATATGTTTGCAAAGCTTGAAACATGATATGGAAAAATAGCAGTTTAGTAAATTTATCAAGAAACTTTATTTTGTCACTGAAGGCATTAAAATACTTAATATTTGTAGTGTCATTTATTCAATGCAAATCGTACATGTTTTAGGATTTCTTCCACATCGGACTGACCTGTTGAGACTCATTAAAAACTATAGTTTGAGGTTTACGTACACAATATAATATTACTTCAATCATTATGATTTACCGCTATTTCATAAATTTTACTGAGAAAAGAGATTTAATATAAATAGGATGAACTCCAACAATTTTAGGATTAATTGTGAATCTCATTAAAATCATGAACTTCATAGCCAAGAAAAAAATCTGGAAATGCTTGAATTAATCATTTAGTAAAACTATGTTATATCTTATCATTTGACCAGATGATACATACTTTAAGTGTATTTGTGGCCGAAAATTTTGTGACATAATTCGATTTTGCAGCAATCCTTCTTAAAGCCAAACTCATAGATCATAATCAGGCTGAAAGATGTTCGTTACAGGTTTGGGAATCTAGTTGCCCAGAGGTTATTTTACTACAGTTGTATCTTATATTATATATTCTAAAGTTCACAGTATGAGTGCTTATACGACTACAGATGCAAATATCTAGATTTTGATTTCGGTAATCGATCTTAACGAGTACATGTTTAGTCTTTAAAGATCAGATGTTAGATATTGTAGATATTGATCGATGTTTGACATTTAACTAAGCTACATCATGTTATACCCAGCCAACTAGCTATTTAGCGACACATTACGGAGAGTTGTTTGTTTATATAAATTATCTATTTTGTTGACTATCGTTATCATTTAGTTGTCTAAGTTCGATTCTGTATCACTTTTCATCCAATTTTTTGTTGTTGCTGTAACCATACTATTAGTTAGTAAAATGAATTACAAACTTAAATACTTACATGTTTGTTAGTATAAATGTTAATGTTAGAAGATGAAATAAAAACAACAAACAATTCTACCAACCAATAATTATACATTTATTTATTTTAACACATATATATTGGTACAAGGAGGCAACAAATACATATGCACCACACAAATCTCATTCGATATGTGTGAGGGCTGTAGTACTGCCCGGGTGCCCAAACCAAAGCAGGTAGTTTTCTTAGGGGGCCACTCCCCGAGCCTTCGACCTGAAAGTCTGATCTACAAGGCAGTGGAGCATCGTAAAGAGATGCAGTTCCATGGTAGCCGGTGACTAACAATTAGTTCATACGTCATTTGTCCCTTTAGGATACTGGAGCCCATGTGCACCATCAGTTTGGAATCTGGTTAAAGCGCCGAACGTTCGCTTTTCGTCCTCTCAATTTTGTAACCAACACCCCTGCCACAAGAAGGCAGTGAGTAGGACTTCCCTGGTAGACTATATACGCGTGGCCATGTGAGAGCATTTTGAGAGGGAGAGCGGACTCTCCCCACTCTTGGCTGTACCAGGGCATTTGGGGGCAATAATTATCCATTGTTATGAAAAAAAATTTCTTCGTTCTTATTCTATATATTCAAATTATTATTCTTTTCAGGATAAGGACAAAAAATTTACTTTTTAAGTTATTTGAACGGTTAACATGGATATCATTTAGATTACTCTGTTTAAATACAAACAAAAAAACAAAACAATTTATTTTGATATTATTCTTGCTTTTGGCTTTCATATACATTTTTCATTTTTACTTAGATAAAATTATTTCTCTTGTATTATTATTCTTACTATTATTATTATTTGAATTACTTTAAAAGTCATTCAATTTCAGTAAAACAAAAGACATTGATGAAAGTGAACTGACCTAATACATTTGTAATTATTTATTATTTTAATAATAAAATATTGTTTAGTCCTCTTGGAAAAAAAACCCAATGAGTTTAATAAAACTAAAAAAGGGTAAAATTTATCGGTAGAATAATTTCCATAAATTTTCAAAGAAATAAATTTTTTTTTAAAGTGTTTATTTCAAAACTTTCTCGTTTAACAAATTATTTTATTATTAAAAGATTGCTGTATTGATAAAAACGAAATCGTCAACTTGATTATAATTTTTATCGTCAAATGGCATTAACTAGGGACTACTGTTTTATCGTTACTTAGGATTCATTATCGATTTGGACATAAGATTTCATACGCGATCGAACTCAGAACATTCGCGTTTCTTAACGGATGTGATTATTTTGAATAAGTAAGCTAGAATCAAGTAGATTATAGTTCCATCTTCATTCGCTCTGCCACTGTTTTGATATGGCTCCAAGCAATCATCCATAGCATCGTACCTGTTCTTTGAGTATTCATTTCAAAGATATCAACCAGTGAGTAAATAAATACTGATGCATGATGTTTCATAAAGATTATTTCAATTTCATAGTGGTCTTCACTATAAGGTGACACTTGCTGGATGGATGCAGCTGATAAGTCCCGTACTAAAATGAAATATTTATCCAGGACTCTCTAAAATTTTAATTAACTTATCAATGACATCAGTCGATGATACTAACTACCTCATTATCAGAATGATCTCTACATACCATCTATATTAAAAAACAGCCATTGTTTTGATGATAAAGGTAATGATATTAATGCCACTGCTATTCAACGAAATTTTTTTCTGTATACAAAACGTTACATTATTTATTATAGTAAGTTATCCAATTATAAAGTACACTTTATTACATGTCGAATCTTTAGGACGAAATCCATCTCAAAATAATAATGAGTAAACTAAGTGTATGTGAATTAGTAAAATTCTCTCCTTGTTTTACAACAAAATAATTCTGACTAAACAAATATAACTGTTCGTATATGCAGCAACAATAAAAACGCAAATGACTGTTTTCTTTTGTTGACAGTGAAACAATATATTTAGGTAAATCATGATTTTACAACTTTTAGCTATCATAATATGTTATGGTAATCAATAAGCAGTGCACTAAGTATTTTTCAAGTATTTGATTATTTGATAAATATAATTCTCAAGACGTATTTAAATAATATTTGGATTATACTCTTAAATCACTTTTTACCAGGTAAATCAGCTGATTTTTATTTATCATTACACTTGTCTATTGACTATTTAGCTTTACAACATCTCTATAAGTTATGATCCATTTCCTTTCTCTCTTTTACTTGTCAGAGTTTGATTAAATTTCGATGAAATCTACTTCACTTAAATTCATTTGTATTGGTTGTTTTAATCTTCTCCATACAAAAGCTAGCAACTATCTGAACTTTGTAGCTAAGTGGATGTGATAACGTTTAGAGCGAACAGTACTAGGTTCAAGTCCCGAAGTGGACATCAACAGGTATATTCAGTTGACCAGTCCTCAATAAGGCGAAATACAAGTCCTGTATTCTACTACTAGCCACCATCTAACACTACCTATTTGTTGGGATATTCAGAAAAATATACCAATAATTATCCTGTTACGTCTAATGGTGTCCTTGGACTTCAAATGGACATTTCCTATTGGCCAATGTTTATTTCACTTGTCAAATATTGTACAAATGTTGTTTTCTATTTTATGGTACGATTTGGTCTGCTTGATTGGTATATAAATAGAGTATGTTTGAAAAATATAGTGATTCATATATCAGAGGCTGAGACTTGCGTTCTGGACTCAACTGGCTGGGCTAAACAGGGAAGCAGGGTCAGTCAGGACTCTAGGTCGTTCTTACGTGTCTTACGCGTTCTTGAATCGATCGATAATACGCTGCACTCTAATCTGCAGTCTACAAGACACAACACTATTTCACTGTGCTTAGATTTAACTTAGTCTAGGACCATATAGATATATTAGTTTTCTTTTAATTTCTCTTCTTAATAAGATAAAAGTTATCAAATGTTTCTACTTATGCCATTTTTGTATGTCATCATAAACAATTAACTCTGTGCTATACCAATCTCAGTTTATAGGCGGTATTCATTGAAATACATGATGATCAGAAGTTATGCATAAGTGTTCTACCATAATAATAATCTTAAAGTTATGCTTTTTTGTAAATGAACATTTATTAGCTCTCGGCTATAAAGATTTGAACTTTTATGATGTAATATATCAAGAATTTAGAATCTAAATTGTAAAACGGTTTGTAAATTACATTATGGACTATATTCAGGTAAACAACCAATGAAACAAGAAAGTTCCAATATGGAACTCATCAGTACCTTGCAATATAACCACTGTTGCCAAAAAGCCGTCCTAGCAGTAATCTAGAAAATTTATATTTTAAATCTAATCAACTCGTAATACTAGAGGTCCACTGTCGATCGGCATCAACAGGTTATCTCTTTGAGATTATGCTTGTTTTTCATTGATGAATTATAGAATATTCTTCAGTTATCTTTGGAAATCTTTTTAAACGTCCATACAACTTCATACAAGTTGATATATGAAAATGAAATTTTGACATAACGCTAAAATTTTGTGTCATCGAAACTTGATTGAAACCTTAAATAAATCGTTAATTGTACATTTTTGTTAGATGATTAAGGGTAATTGATAGGAAATCATGGATTTCGTTTTCATTCTAGTTAAAATACGTTCTCAAGATAAACCTGCAATCTTGTATGAATCTTGTGGAAATTCAACGCAGATCACTAAGCTTCCGACTTTTAGGTACTCAATTAGTATTTGATCTCCTACAAGATCAAGATATTTACCTTTATTATTATTATTATTATATTTACCTTTACAAACAACGATTGAAATTTGTATATATTTGTCTTCCACTGAAAAACTGCAAGCTTTTCTGCATTTTTCGTTATAACAGGTATAATACACGGTGTTTTCTGATATCATTGTTAATTAAAACTTATTTTATCCTTGTTTTAACAAAAGAATGTTATCCAGTTCAGTTTATTTCTATTTCTCTTGTTATTTTTTACATAGAACATCAAATGTTCAAGTGTATATTGAAGAAAAATGACGAGAACACAATTTCTGTAACAGATGATAACTATAATTTACAAGATACCTCAGAGACTACATTTTCCAATAATGTAGTTTCTCATGAAACATGTGATCACTTAAATCATAATTCATTATATTCAATTTACAATATATATGTTCAAAGGAATACAATCAATACTTCTGACACGCAATCATCATTTTGTCCTTGTAATATTGATAAATGTCACAACTGTTGTATTACAATGAATTTACAGCGTTTATGGGGCTCCAAAGCATTTCTTATTATAACTGACATAAATTCAATCATTGAATTAATTACTTATATGACAAAATTATTTGTTAATGATGAACAAACTTGGATGAATATTTTATCGTTGATACAAAATGAAATAAAAGCATCAGGTAAGCCATGTATTTGTATATTATTAAAAGTGTGTGATATTTGTTTAAGTTCTTCGTTGTAACTAATATGACATAATCATCTATGTAGTGCCGTCGTCCGGGCCTGATGTAGATATATTGACTACCTATATTCGAGCCCAGATCAGCTACTTGAATGAAGAGACTGAGATAAAAGTGTATTATTTAGCAAAACCGAATAGAGAACATACGTACATCCACTCATAAAAAAGCACTTTTATGTCTTAAAAATTGGAGACATTCTTTTGAGTATCCATTACATCTTGGCCGGTCATGTGTTCTCACCCTTTGGTCTATGTCTGATTGACTCACGGTATCACAATCATTATTGAATATTTTCTTATTGTATTACGAATTGTTTGTAGTTGTTATTGTAACCGAGTAATCTTCAATTCGTCGGCTTAATTATAATAATGTTGCTACGATGCGTTGATACATTAGATTCTATCCGTAATGAAGTCACGCGTATATAATATTATAAAATCAGAAACTGTGACGGAACAGATTTCTGTCTTAATTTTCTTAATTTTAATGGTTCTAAATTGTGTATCAGTTAATGATGAAAATTATTCTCGTATCTAGATTCTCTTCTCCTGAAGTACCACGTCATTTGAAATACATAAATACTTGCTACTAACCATTTCTTTTTGAATTTTTAATAAATAACTAGAAGTTTGGTCATTAAGAAAAGGTAATCTTTCAAGATAGCGTGCGAAAAACAGTGAACAAGTCACTGTGGGTGTAATTCAATGATTTTAAGTGATTCAAACGTCACTCCTACTTTAACGTACCTGTTACTTATATGTAAATATAGATTTTGCTAAATACTAGTTACAGTTTTGAATGCGTAAATATATTTAAGAATATGTCCTTTAATGACACAGTTTTATCATAACAAGCTATTTTGTTAAACTTGTAACAATTTCGCATTGTGAATTTTCAGAACTGTTTGTTTTTAATGATTCCATAGTAAGAAGTTTAAACTTTGAACGTGTTGTATAGTTGAAGGTTGACTTTGTGGTTAAATTCAATGGCTTTAGTTAGCTCGTAGTAGGTACGAATGTCGCTCCTCAACTTTCGATTTTGGGTTGCCTAGTAGTATTACTAGCTCTTGCAAAAAATGTAACTTTGGATCGAGTACTTGTTAAACTGGATCTAATCACCCGAAGTTTTCCATCAATTTTAACATTTTGATAAATACAAGTAAATATATAGCATAATAAAAATGTAACTTTTGAATTAATTAATCACAAAAGGCGAGGAACACCCGCTCTATCTTTTCATAATATGAGTGCAGTTTGTATTCTTCTGTCTGAATGCTTTAGTGTATAAAATTTACAATTTGGAACTGTTTGATAGTTGTATTCTCTAAACATATTTTCAACTTAACTTTTATTACATTGCTTTAGACTGAACACTACAGTAAACGAATATCGCGTAGATATTCATTTCCTTGTAGACACTACAAGTATAGAAAATGGAACTTGTTACTCTGGGGTAGTTTACAAAGTTATGCTGTTTCAAAAACTGTTTTAAAAATATTTATGAGTCCGAATCGATTTGAAGCAGTCTTTATGACTAAAACGAGAGTGAACTAGAGAAGCTTTCTGCCTCCGGTAAAAGAGATCAAAGCGAGGTCATAATTATTATATATGATTTACACAGGTATAAACTACAGATGACAGGGTAATTTTTAAAACTGTGGAATCACACAGATCAAAGAATAATGAGAAAATAAAGGATAGAGAAACCCTTTTTAGTCATATTTCAATCTAGAGTAATAAATTGATAATGCTAACTAAATAACACTACCATATTTGACAAGATCTTAGAGCAAACATCTTTCTTTTTTTGCAAAGCATAAAAATCTCAATGAATGTTAATCATATAATAAAACTGAATTTGATTATTTATAGTTACGTTGCTATTCAGTAGACATCATTTAGTCTAAACTGTTTATCCTTTAATATAAAACAAATAACACATTCTATCATACAATATCTGTAGTCATTAGTAATATCTCTATTATTAGAAAGAAGTCTATGAATATAATCCAGTTTTATTTATAGACTTAAAATAGGTTGATTATATTATTGAATTCAACTTACTCATAAATCTATTCTTTTAAATATTGTTTATATTCATTAAATTCAATAAATTATTTATTAGGAAAAATGAAAACAAACATTTAATTTCTATATAAAAAATAATAGATAGAACTTACTGATCAACAAATTTTTCTAATCTTTTTTTTAGTTTTATTTGTTGCTCATAATCTATTTTGTGGACAAAAATAAGTTGAATAAACTAAATTCTATAAATACGTGGTAGTTTTAATAAATGGTGATAAAAGCACACAAAAAAACATTTTCTACCTCTTTTTTGGGGGAGGGGAAGGGGGGTAAATATGATTATTATTTAATAGGAATAAAACAAATAAATTAGGTGTGGAATGAAGTAAATGAGAAGAGAATAATTACTGGTGCAGATTTTTCGAAGTTTAAAATTTAATTTTGTATAGAACAAAAAGAATGATTTATTTTTCGAGGATTAATTCAAAGCTTCCTTTGGAAATAACTTGATAATATTTTCCAGTTTTATATTCTTTTTTAAAAACAAACTTGGTTTTTTTAATTTTTCCGACGACTGAGCTTAAACATATATACCGTTGGATGACAGCTTAGTTTGTCTAGAGTTTAAGAGTTTGTGTTCGAGACCAAAGGTTCTAAATTTGATTCCTGTTTGTTGTTGAGGAGTCCTTTACTAAATCGTAGCCCTGCCTACTGCTTCCAGGTCACTTTAGTGATTATTTAACTTTGATCAGTTCATGATGTCAAATAAAACTATAGATTTGGTTCATTAAGATTGTATTCGTCACATATTCTGATAATCTTGTTCATACGGCTAACAGCATAAAATCAGGCTTGATTTAAAAATTTTCAAACTTTATCAGCTTAATTTTAAATTTATTGAAACGTCAGAATCCTTGTATAATAGTAATACAAACAATATATAGGTTTATGCATAGGACGTTTTTACTATCAGCTCAGAAGGTATTTAATTGCTCACTTATCCGTACATATCGATTGTTTGTAATCAGCACTTATAGAGAAAAATAAGTCAAATAACAATCAACTAGTGAGTTTACTGATTACAGAAGACGTATACTGTCCATACGAACATATCAGTCTATCGATAGGCATTTCAAGAATATAGCTCATAAAATGAAATCGATACCGATAGTTTATACTATTTTATTAATAAAATGTGAAATAATTACGGGCCGCTTGACTGTCTATAAATACGAAGTAATTATCGGAAAATGGAGGTATAGTAAAAGAAAAGAAGTGAATAATATTATTTTTTGTTCACCTTACTGCAATAGGTTTTTTGAATAATTCATATAACCCTTCAGAAAATCCATTATGAGAAAGTTCAATGCAAACAGCCTTTCATTCTTATTTCGGTCATCAAATAGTGTTTCATACACATAGTACCCCTTTATTATTTTAAAGAGAGCAATCTTTGTTCTTGCTCTCTTCAAAATAGTGTTTCACTCGTGCATAATAATGATTAGAAAGCTTGTAAATACCCTTGCAGATTAGGATCGGTTGTTAACAGATGTTATTTAGTGAACTCGTTAAAAGAAGTGAACTCCGACGGTGCTGGATTCATGTGACCATGGTGGAAGACTGTCTATATACAAACTTATAAGTAATAATAATATGCAAATAAACGAGTATTTCTCAACATAGAAAATACTTCAATTAAATGAGAGAAAAGCCTAAAAATCAGAAGAGTTTTGAAAAATTGAACAATATGAAAGAATAAATTTACACTGAAAAGTGAATAAGGTATTTGTTTTATGAATAGTTGTAATTTTTTACTACCATTCTTACTGTTCTATTTCTTTTCTCTGGTGTTGTTATTAGTTTTAAATTTCTGAAATTCAAACATTCAAGCAAAATCTAAACTAATAAAATGCGACATTAAATTGGCTTACATTTCTTTTCCCATGTATTAATGTAGTGAACGAGAGATTAGGTACGGTAAACCAATTTATTTTTTTATGCCAATTCACAAAGTACCTTTGTACAATATGAAACTCATACATTAAGTATATCTTTTGAACATCTCCCTTTAATTTTCTTTTATACATTCCATCATTCTTCTGATTCTATTGTTATTCCGATTACTCATCGTTTCCATCTTATTCTCTTTGTTTCAATCTTCTGCTGGGAATTATTCCATTTCCTATTAATGCTACACACTACTTAAATTTGTCAGTATACACCACGCTACTACTTTTTATCATATATTCATCATTATGTAAAAATATTGTATCTAATTCATTAGATCTGCTGTGTAACAAGAGAAACACTATTGTAATATTACTTAACCAATACATTTTAAGAATTAATGGCCTGTCAGTTTCAATAAAATGTGTTAAACGTGATGAATTGACATTATCATATTGACGAAAAATGATTAATACTGTCTCAATTTTAATGAAACACTGTATACCATTATTTACTCTATATGTAAAAATTCTTAAGCTAGCGATCATAGAACGAACTAATCACTTATGAAGTGGAAACATCTTAATATCAAGTTGTGTAATAATTTTGATAACCTCGTCGGTAAGTATGTAAAAATAACTTCAGTTGGTCATTTTTATTTATTTCATATCAAAACTGACTTATGTTAGTTGTCCTTCAAATGTATTTTAAATATATACAAATCAGAAAAGTAGATAATTATTTAACCGGATGACCATATACTTAGACATTACCTTAAAGAAATATGTAGAATCTTGTTTGCTTGATATTATGCATATATATAACTTTTGGGTGTAACTGTTGATTTTCTCACCTACTTTCTTCATACGTCAACCTCACTTATTTCCTAGTATTGATTTATTATGCTGTATATATATATATATATATAGAGAGAGAGAGAGAGAGGTTAACTTTCGTATTTTC